GCAAGACCATTTCAGGCTGGACATAAGGAAGAATTTCTTTACTGTCCGAGCCGCCAAGGTCTGGAACAGCCTGCCATTGGAGGTGGTTCAAGCACCTACATTGAACACCTTCAAGAAAAAATTGGATGCTCATCTTGCTGGTATCCTATGACCCCAGCTGACTTCCTGCCCTTCGGGCAGGGGGCTGGACTCTATGATCTTCCAAGGTCCCTTCCAGCCCTAATGTCTATGAAATCTATGAAATAGCGTGGCCACTGGCAAGGATATTTGAGAACTCGTGGTGCTCCGGCGAAGTACCTGAAGATTGGAAGAGGGCCAGCGTGGTGCCCATCTTCAAGAAAGGGAGGAAAGACAACCTGGGAAACTACAGGCCAAATCAGTCTGACCTCAATCCCTGGGAAGATTTTGGAAAAAATCATCAAAGAAACCATTCTTGACAGACTAACAGAAGGTAACACTCTGAGGAATAGCCAGCACAAGTTCATTGCGGGTAGGTCTTGCCTGAGCAACCTCATTTCCTTCTATGATCAGGTGACATATCACCTGGACAAAAGGGAAGAAGTTGATATAATTATTTGGACTTTAAAAAAGCCGTTGACCTGGCGTCCCACAATGCCCTCATGGAAAAATTGGGCAACCGCAGCCTCGGCCTGATGGCTGGGGAACTAGCTCCGAGGTTGAATCCGGAGGGTGGTAGTTGATGGAACCGAATCAACATGGCACTCAGTGACTAGTGGTGTCTCCCAAGGCTCTGCTCTCAGACCTGTACTCTTTAATGTCTTCATAAATGATTGGGACACTGCTGTCAGAAACAGAATGGCTAAGTTCACTGAGAACACCAAACTTTGGGGAAGAGTGTCGACACTTGAGGATAGGCTGGTGACCCAGGCTGACCTCAACAGGCTTGCAAGGCGGGCGTATAAAAACCTGATGGCATTCAACATGGAGAAATGCAAGGCGCTCCACCCACAGCACAATTGTATGTTTGGCAGTGCTACAATCGCTAGCACCATGACCGAAAGAGACTCGGGGGTCATAACTGACCACAAGATGAACATGAGCCACAAATGCGATATTGCAGCCGGCTAAGTGAACAAAACTCTGGCTTGCATCAACCAATGTATCTTGAGCAAGATCCAGGATGTCATCCTCCCATTGTACTGGACCTTGCTGAGACAACAGCTGGAGTACTGCATCCAATTCTGGACTCCACAATTTAGGAAGGATGTGGAGAAGCTTGAAAGAGTCCAGAGGAGAGCCACGTGCATGATCAGAGGGCAAGAGAACAGGCCTTATGAAGAGAGGCTGCAAGGTATGGGACTCTTCAGCTTGGAAAAGCGCAGGCTCAGGGGTGACTTGATGGCAGCCATTTAAGTACATAAGAGGTGTGCATTATCATCTGGGCAAATGACTGTTCACCAGAGCACCCCAAGGGATGACAAGGTCCAACGGTCATAAATTCCTGCAAGAATGTTTTAAGCTGGACATAAGGAAAAACTTCTTTACTGTCCGAACCCCCAAGGCCTAGAACAGACTCCCCCCAGAAGTGGTGCAAGCACCTACTTTGGACACTTTCAAGAAACATTTGGATGCTTATCTTGCTGGGATCCTTTGACTTTAGCTGACTTCCTGCCTCTTGGGTAGGGAACTGGACCCAATGATCTTATGAGGTCCCTCCCAGCCACTAACATCTATGAAATCTTCTATATCTTCAGTATGTGAGAGTGACCAACATTGTATTTCTAGGTTAGGTGCATGTAGCCAGGAGCAGCTGGGCAGGACATTTCAAGATGGCTTCAAAGTTGGAGGAGAATTTACAAGATTTCAATTTTGGAATGACGTACTGAAGTTCCATTTTTTTTTTTATTGGGCACTTTGCTACTATACGACTTCATGGGCCAACTTTTTCATTGCTGGCTTTCCATCTTGTGTAATCCTTAGTTTCATAGGAACTCCATTTATGTGCCTACTGGGTAAGTGCATGATTTACTTAACTGCAAAACAGGACGCCAGCCCCATTCAACTACTTTCTGTTTACAATGGACCAAACTCTGTTTACCTGTCTGTTGGTCACATGCATAAGCCATTTCAATGCGAAGCATCTTCCAGCCCTGCCTACTTTGCAATGCAGTTGTGGTCTAGTAAGATAACTGAAATGAAATGGTGAAAGGGAAACAGCTGTCAAAGGACTATTTTAGAAGCCTTGAAAGTGACCAGTGCTAATTCCCTCCTTCAAATACATCCTACAGTACAGTAAAATGGATACTAGTATGGAAAGAGTCCATCAGCCAATAAAGAAATCTGTGGGAAAACTAAATAATTCCTTCTCCTCTCAAGCACTGTGAGGTTCTTGACCAAAAGCCTGAGTATGAAACTATTGCATACTGAAAAGCGGTGGTTATTTGCAAAGAAAAAGGTGTCAATTTGGGAGGGACGTGGGATCAAGCAAGGCATGTCCTACCTGCACAGGGAATGCAGCAGGGGAGTGGCAAACATGGACAGCAAGGGCAAACACCTGCACGAGTGTCTGTCTGTACATGTATGCTCCTGAGTGTGTGTGAACCTGGTGGAGCTGGAAGTCAAGCATACTCTCAAAGTAAGGTTTGCCCCACCAGCAACAAAAGCAAATGCTTATACATGTGCACCTGTACATGTGTACCCCTGAGTGCATGTGTGAGAGCCTGTCTGGGTGAGCTGCCCAGGGGCTATGCCATGGGACTGGCAAGCACAGGCAACAAGGGCACACACCTGCGCATGTATATGTGTCTGTACGCACATTTGCACATGCCTCATAGAGAAGGAAGCGGGCCTGCCTACCTGGTGGCAGCTGGCTCCAGCCTCCAGCATCCTCTGCAGGGCACTGATCATCCTTTTGCGCCGCCGGCACTCCTCCTGCAGCCGCTGCGCCTCCCGCCCATGCCGTGCCGCCTCCTCACCCAGCTGGTCACGCTCCGCCCGGGCTGCCTCCAGAGCTTGCTCGAGGGTGTGGAGCTGAGCGGCCAGACCATCCTGGCAGTGCAGTAGGTACTCCGTGGCCAGCTGCACCAGCCGCAGCAGCTTGAGCAGCAGCGGGTCAGTAGGGCCATGGCAGTGTGGGCAGCGCTCCCGCTCCGCGCTGCAGAAGGTGATGTGCGCCAGGTGCTCCTGCAACAGTGCCACATCCCGCTCACGCTCCACCCGCTCCACGTCCACTGCACTTAGGCGCCGCCAGTCTGGGCTGCCCTGCCGTGCCCGAAACCCGAAGGTCGGCACCGCTGGGGCTGGGGCGGCCATGGCTGCATCCAGTGGGTAGTACACATGCTCCCGAAATGGCTGCACGCACACAGAGAGAGAAAGGCATGGCTTAGTGTGTCTAGAGAGTAAGGGCTTAGAGTGGACTGGGGAGAGGGACTGCCCTCCTTTGCATTCCCTTGCCCAGCTGCAGCCTCTTACCATGCCCAGCGGGCCTGGCCCGGCCTGGCCTCCACTCTTACTGGCTGTGTGGGGCCCACGTTGCTATGGCTACCACTGCCTGCAGGCTACAGCCGCTGTGGTGCCTGGTGGGGGAGAAAGAGAGAGAGAGAGAGAACGAGCATGTGAGAGCATCACACACACGCATACACACAAACCCATGAGTGCAGCAATACGCCTGCTTTGCCTTCCTCTGACCCGATGCCTCCCCTCTCCCCACTGTGCTGTTGTACCCCAGGCCTCACTGCAGCTCCCAGCCCAGCCACCAAGCTCCTCACCCCACAAATACAGCCCGTCCCTACTTCACTGCCTCTTTACACCCCCCCGACCCCCAGCATCCTTCCAGACACCTCTTCTAGCAATGGTTTGATACTCCTCCCCCACAGGTATAATACCACCCTATACTGCCTGTTTTGCCCATCCATCCACATGCTGTCTCCTGGGACCAATGAGCCCCTCCTCACCTCACCATGCCCTAACAGTACAGCTCTCACTGGGTACCTCTGTACCTCCCTATTGCTTTAGCACCTCATCCCCAAATAATTTACCCACAAACACACCTCTTGCTTCACCAGGCACCTCCATGCATGTTGCCCTAGCCCAGTGATTCTCAACCAAGGACATGAGGAACCCTGGGGTGCCCTGAGATCCTTTCAAGGGTGCTCTAGGGCACCATGCAGTGTTAGCACTGTAAGATGTACAAACATGATTCACATCATAAACCCAGAGTTTTAAAGCAGGAATCCATAACGTTAAAACCATTCTCACCTGTTGTGGTCTTTTTGAGTTCTTTGCAACAGAAGAAATGCCCCATAACATTTCTGTAGCCAAAAAAACAAATGAAACTTAAGAGCTGGAATTTTCTGCAGGGTTCCTCAAGTCTATCCAAGTGTGCCTAAAGTTTATAAAGGTTAAGAAACACTGCCTTATCTTGTCTGCTCCCTACACAGGCTCCCCTTACTACACCAGCAAACCTCTCCAGCCTCACCTAACGCAGTACTAACATGCACCACATGCTTGCACTTCCACATACTACCCCATGGCATCACTGAACCCCCACTACAACACTGCTCCCAGCTGCTTTCCACCCACTTGGCTGCCTGCAGGTGGGTGCTCATTTCACTGGGTGAGTGTAGTGGGTGGAAAGCAGCTGGGAGCTGGAACCCCGCCTGCTGAAGCAAGAGCCACTGAAGCTTCCTCCTCGCCCAAAGCAGCAAAGCAGGGGCAGGAGCAGGAGTCACCACTGGAGACGAGGGGAGCTGAGCAGCACCAGGACAGCTGCAGCCATACTGGGAACAGCTGTCCAGGACTGGGGCTGAAGGATAGGTGACTGATGACTGCTCTGGGTGCGGTTCAGCCCCATATGGAGCACCATGGGGTCAGCTGTGGGCCAGATCCAATCAATTGGCAGGTGCACCCTGCAGGCCAGATCCAATCCATTGGCAGGCTAGATCTGGCCCACAAGCTCTATTTTTGCCTACTTTTGAGCTACATCAAGACACTGAACAACTTGGTCTGGCCTCTGGACTGTCTTAACGGGCTAAAGGAGGGATGATAGATCTAGAGCAGCCTCCACTCCTCCATACTCCTGCCTAGGCATACGCACTGAAAGTCTTGGTGTGATCTATACTAGCCAAAAATGATAATGTAACTCACATGCTGGAATGTTCAGGCTCTGACCCTTGGGTATGACTCAGACTCAGACTTAGACTTAAAGAAAACAGCACTACTAAACCATGAATTGGTTACACTCAGAATTGACATTATCAGAAACTTGGCTCTCATATACAGGTTCTATCCAAGAGAATGATTACATCATACTCTGGCCTGAGAAACCAGCAGGAGAAAGGAACAAGCAGGGAGTAGACTCTGCTATTAGTAACAGCTTCCTATCCCTCTGTGAAAGCCTCATTGCTATATCTATTCAATTCATGACACTCAGCATGCCTACACAGAACACCCTCAATCACACTGTTTAGTGGCTATGCACCTACCCTTCAAGCTAGCAACAAAGACAAGAATGTTTTCTACCAACAGCTTGAAGAAGAGATTAAGAAAGCTCACAGAAATAAGATCATTATAATGCTTGGCAACTTCAATGCAAGAGTTAGATGCAATTTTAAGAATTGGCCTGGTATTCTGGGCAATTACAGAACTGGTAGTATGAATGAAAATGGATGAGTGTTAGAATTTTGTGCAAGTCAAAACCTGTATTACTAACATCTGCTTCACTGGCAAATCACAAGAAGGACATTGTGGAAGCATCCAAGATCAGTTAGATCTTGTACTGACCAAGTATAGCCACCTGAAAGAAATTCTACATATGAGGTCTTATCTCAGTACTGACTGTGACACTGACCATGCCTTTGATTCTGACTCTGAAGCAGACTGTGTCAAAAAGATCCACCACAGCAAGGTGACCAGTCACTCTCAGATAGGCATCAGTCAAACCTAAGACAGAAAAATGCAGACTATTCAACGAAAAAGTTGCAAACGCAAGTTTACTTAACAACTCAGCCACTGAGACTTGGGAAAGCTTAAAAGCAAACATGTACAATGCTCCTATAATAATATTTGGCAAAACAGTGCAAGAAAAATGCAGGCTGGTTTGAAGAGCACTCTGAAACCCTTCTACCACCGGTTGAGAACAAAAGGACAGTATTAACCAACTATAAGGAATCTCCCAAGACCATAACCCTAGAAAATCTGAGAAAGGCTTGAAGAGAAATGCAAAAGGAGGCTAAGAGGTGTGCCCAAGATTTTTGGCTAAAACTTTGTGATGATGTTCAGGAAGCAACTGATGCAGGCAATAGCCACAGAATGTAAGAAGGCATCAAATGGGAAAGTGGTCCAATCGAGAAGAAAACAACTCTGCTGAAAGACTTAAATAGAAATGTCTTTACTGATAAACAAAAACAACTTGAGAGTTGGATTGCACATTATAGAACTATATACTCTAGTGAGATGAAATCCAATACAAAAAGCTTGGAGGATTACCACGGTTTGAAGTTACGATGGATTTATATAAGCCTACATTAGCAGATTTGCAGAAAGTCATTAAATCAATTCCTGGGAACAAGGTATCTGGAAATGACTGTTTGCCTACTGAAATCTACAAACGTGCCAATGACGAATTACTTCAAAAGTTTCATAAAGATATGCTGCGCTGTTGGAAAGAGACAGTGGTACCACAAGATTTCAAAGATACTCTGTTTGTACAACTATACATAAACAAAGGGGGATAAAACCGCCTATGACAACTGTAGAGGTATCTCCCTGTAGAACAGAGTCAGAAAAATTGTCACTCGCATCATGCTCTCTAGTCTGCAATCTCTAGGAGAAAGAATCTCTCCTGAAAGGCAACATGGCTTTTGCTCTACCTTTGATATGGTATTTTTGGTCAAACTACTGCAAGGAGAAGTGTGGAGAAAAACGAATACTAGTGTACATAGCCTTCACTGATCCAACGATGGCCTTCATACAGTCAACAGACAAGACATCAATAGTACATCAACAAACAGGGGTATGTCTTAGCTCCCATGCTTTTTAACGTTTACATTTCTGCTTCTTCATGCATTCAAGGGCAGTAACGATAGCATTTATCATCAAACAAGATTAGACAGAGGTTTGTTCAATATCACAAGATTCAGAGTGAAAGCCAAGGTGAAAGAACTGGTTCTGAGAGACTTCCCGTTTGGTTATGATATAGCCTGGGATGTCCACAGTGAATCTTCCCCGCAAAATCTCTTAGGCAGATTTTCTGAATCATGCAAGAGCTTCAGGATGGCAATTAGTCTCAAGAAAACTGTGATCGTGTACCAAGGGGCGAAAGAACTGATACCTGACATCATTCTGATGGATAAATCTCTTGGTGTTATTGAAAGTTTTTGCTACGTGGATTCTACAATCAGCAGGAATCTTGACCTTCAGACTGAACTAACAGAATCAGAAAAGCACCTAAGAATTTTGGCTATTACAGAAACATGCATGGAATAACAGCAAACTACCAGCTAAGGTGAAGATACAAATCTACAGGACTTTTGAGCTGTCATCCCTGCTTTAGAGTTCAACAACATGGACTACATATGCTAAGTATATCAAAAGACTGAACATCTTCCACGTGAGATGTCTGCAGAAGAGCCTGAAAATAAAGTGGGACAAAAGAATACCAAACACAGAGGTGCTGAAGCGCACAGGACTGACACACTTAGATGCCACTATCAAGAGGAGGAGGTTGCGATGGATCCATTATGACAGGATAATGGAAGAAGATTGTATCGCCAAAAATATTTTGTATAGCGAGATTCGAGATGACTCTAGAAACCGGACACCCTCTACAGAGGTACCATGATGTGTACAAAAATTATATAAAATCATTCAACATCAACATGGAAAGCTGGGAGGAGCGTGCAAAATCCTATGCGATCCAGAGGGAATACCTGACACTGGGTGCAGCTTAATACGAAGCAGCTTTCATCCAGAGCATGGAAGCAAAACAAGAAAAAAGAAAGCAGCATCCTCTTAACTTGTACTCCAACCGAGACAACATATGGATCTGTGAGACTTGTAATAAGCAGTGTCGCTCTCATGCTGGGCTTGTCAGCCACAAATGGATTCATCAGGAATTTGATTAGTCCACTTGCATGTAACACCATGATCCAGAGAATCAATAGTTGCCTACTATATATTTATAACACCGCAGTCTATGCCTGCAACAAAAAAGATATTCTTGCTTCTGAATTTCCCAACAAGAGGTCCTCAACAAATGCTGCTATCTACAGTGTTCTTCAGTAGATGTGATACCTTTTATCAGACCAACTAAACAGCTGGAAAGATTGTTCCAATTTGAAGGGTGTTTGTGCCCACAAGCTTGCACAAAACAATCTTTCCAACTATTTAGTTGGTTTAATTAAAGAGATCACATCTACCCAAAGAACCTTGTCTGCCTATGTCCTTAGACCAACACAGCTACAACAGACAACCCTAAAACTACCTACGTTGTGTATGTACAGACATATAGAAACTAGGGGTGCACCAACAAAGATTTTTTGGGCTGATACCAATAGCCAATTTTTAAGGAGGCATATCGG